GAAAGGAAGGGTCTGGGGCTTGGAGACAGTCACACCCGCCTTTGCTGAGCCTGCTCCCTGGTGGGGGCTCTGCATTGTCAGGCCTGTTGGCCTGCAGCAAGGTGGTGTCACGGTGGGAAGATGCAGCCTCAGTGGATGGTGCCACTCAGCCATCATGCAAACGGCATCGAGCTGCCACCTGGCAGCAGAACCTGACTGGGAACCAGGGCAACTCTGGGAGCAGGACACTAAGGGTTTCAGGAGGGGTGGCAACCCCGTTTCTATTATGGGGGGTCCTCCACATTGCCAGGGCCTCCCCTACAGTATCCAGGATGGTTATCTAAAGCTTGGCCTGCCCCTGGTACTGCCCACCCGTGTTTCTATCTAGATCACACTCATCTCTGTGGTATCTCGGCTCTCCCACTAGTTTGGGCCACACACAGGCGAGCACCGCGGGAATGGGTCATGGCTGGCAGGAGTCGGTGGAGGCTGGGCCCAGCCATGCGGCAGCTGCTTAGGATTCATCAGGCTCACGCAGCAGGGATCAGGCCCTGGGGTGATGCCGGGGGGTGGGGAGGAGGGAGGCTTCTTCAGGCAGCAGGATCGCAAAGCAAGTGCCAGGCTCTCCCAGCTTGGCACCGCGTCCCTGTGTGATGACAAGGGAGGTGGGGAATCTGGCAGCAGGAGGGAGCGCGAGATAGCAATCGCATTCACCCAGCAGGGAGCAGGAGCAGGCAGGCAGGCAGGACGTTGGTCGGGCCAGCAGCTGGTCATGCTGAGATCCATCCCCTCTCTTCCTCCACTCCTCCTCCATGAGGTCTTTAATCTGCACCTCAACCACCACTACCAAACACACACACGCTCCTTTCTTAGCCCCCTTTGTGTGGGGGACAGGGGTTGTTGAGTGGAATTCCTGCTTGCTACAGAGCCATGGTGCCAGGCAAGGTGGCCTCTCAGATTTCACCCTGGGGCAGCGTCTAGCTAAGATGGGCAGTCCTGGCACCAGATGGGGCTGAGGAGGGCATCAAGGAGGGAAGAGCCTTGGAAGAGCTGGGAAAGCCCTGTCCCTGTAGGTCACCTGCATCACCGCCTCTGCCGAGATACAAATATTGTGTAGGGGACGATCCTAAATGTTTTGGCCAATGTAGGCTGTAAGTATCCCAGCAATGACCCACCCCTTCCGCCATCATAGGAAACTTTTCCCTCATGTCCACCCCAGATCTTCCCTTTTGTCATTTTACCCCATCACTTCTCATGTGCCACCCTGAACAATCCATCTCCTTTCTCAATGTAAATGTATGGAAACCAGTCGTCATATGCTTCCCCTACCCCTCAAGTCATCACTTAGACAAGATGGGCGCAGTTAGCTCTGCTCTGCAGTCTTCCCATGTCAGTCACTGCAGCCCCCTGGTCATTTTTGTTTCTCTTCTGTACACTCCTGCCAAGCTGTTGGTATTTGGGGCTGTCACCTCCCCTGCCTCTTTGAATGGTGCCTCAGTGTGCAGCCCAAAACCGCATTGGCTTTTCTGCTGCCACGTTACATCTGAATCTCCTGTCTCCAAGCCCTTCCTGTCCCCTCGTCCTTCTTCTGCTCCACCCCGCTGCATGTCGATGCTCCATTTTATTTTTTACCTCTTGCATCTTCCTCTAGTGAATCTCAGTTTCACTTATTTTTAATCCCTCTCTGAAAAGGCTTTTTATATTAATTCTTTATCCCCACTGGTGTTTGCAATTTCTCCTCAGTTAGCATTGTCAGTGTGTTCCTTTAATATGCTGTTTATCTCTCCCCATCTTCCAGCTCAGTAATGAAGGGATATTTCTCCCCAACCCCAATCCTTGCAGTTCCCTACCAGACATCTCCCTCCGATGCAACACGAGCCTGTTTAGCCTTTGTTTAAGGTTCCTTAGGCAGGCCATCTATCCAAGCCAATTTGAGTTAATTGAAGAGTGCAATTTTATGAGACCCTGTGTCACATGCTTTACTAAAATCCAGATAGAAAACATCCCCTCCCCCACTAATTTTGCAATTCCCTCTGAACAAGCAATCCGACTGGTCAAGCAAGATCTAGACTTCCTACCTCTGAGCTGTTTATTCCTGAGCGGTGACTCTGTCGCTGTTCGCTGATTTGTGGTCTCGTAATATTTGTTCCGTTATTTTATTAAGGGTTACAGGGAAACCAATCTAAGCTGCAAGCGGAGTGCTAGAGGGCTGCATCTGAAAAGGATACTTTGCACATGCTGAGCGTTAGAACATTAAGGTTTGCACTGAAGACTTGCAGGATTCAGTCATTTTGACTGTTTGCCACTGAATATCAATGAGAGAGAACATGGCCCCAGGACAGAGTGATGGGTGGTGGTGGGGGTCCCTTCATCCCAGAATTTATACAGGTGAGGATCTCTTCCCCAAGGAAAGGCAGTGTGTCTAACAGGCAGAGCAAAGGGCGCAGCCTAAGGAGTTGTAGATTCTATTCCCAACTCTGCAACTTGCCTCCTTCGTGATCTTGGGCTGATCATATGCCTTGGTGCCTCCATTTTCCCGCATACAAATTATGCTAACACATGTCCTAGTGGATCCCGTTCACTGTCCATATGCCCTCCTACTGTCAGTCAGCTGCCTGTCCCAGTTCCGTCCTAGCCCACAGGAGCTGTGCTAAGCTGTTCTCTTCTGGGAGGCCCGTCCATCATACATCCAGCAGGCATAGAAACCTCTTCCAGCAGGCAAAATCACATCCGTGTTTTGCCTCCAGCAAAGAAAGTGCGGGCTTTATGGTGAAAGCAATTTCCCTGTCTCCGGATTACTAACAACACACTCAGGCCCACAGGCTGGGGAAGCAAACAGAGCTTAATTCACTTGGAGTTTTGAAATAGGGTCTTAATGACTAGGTTCAAATTAGCCACCGTCACCTTTTCAACCCGGGGAATTGAAATGAAATGTGATTCTCGACAGCAGCCTTGGGCTAGTCCAGCTCCTACTACACACACAGCCCTTTTAAAACGTGTCTCAGGTAAAGTAGGTATCTTCTGCTTTCACGGGTTCTACTGTTTTCGTCATGGTATTGACTGAAATACATATTTTAAATCCCCCCCACAGGTATCTAAGCCACCCGCGTTCTACCTGCAAATCAAGAGGAGGAGGAGATCTGGGGCGAAAAGGAAAACAAAAAGAAATTACTTTGGACTGTTTTGTTTTTCCAGTGAAATTATAAAGCCATGTCCCAAGGCAAAGGAACGGTGTCTGAATGTCAAAAGAGCAGGACATGATTCTCCACCAGCACAGGTGCAGGGCTGGGTGACAGGACGGGCGAGTAGAAACCATGGCACCCCAAGAAGAATGATAACACCTGGCAGTTCCCACGGCAGAATTCTGCCGTAATGGGGCAAGAGCAGTGAGAGCACGTAGGGTCTACTGGGAACGAGTCTGGGAATCAGACCTGCCTCCCAGGCCTCGTCAGGGCAGCAGGTCACTGCCTGGCCAGGTTCCCGACCTAGAAAAGATGATAATGATGCTGCTCCCTTTTTGCAAAATACTTCGGGTGGGAGCCACGAAGGGACTTAGGTGAGTGCCACACCACCTAGCAAATCACAGGAACACACAGTGACTCACAAAGCCCACTTAGGCCCCTAGGCTCCCTGTGCACTGCATGGGGAGAGGTAAGTGCCTAAGAATGCCATCCCCAAAAGCCAGCACTGCAGGCCCGGACCTAAGCCAGGCAATGAGAGAGGCGGCCAACAGGCATGTGTGAAGCCCCGCCCCACTCTCAGAGACAGGCACCTCCATCCAAGCTGCATTGGGACACCTGTCAGTTTAAAGAACAGGAGTACTTGTGGCACCTTAGAGACTAATTTCAGAGGAGCAGCCGTGTTAGTCTCTATCCGTAAAAAGAAAAGAAGGACTTGTGGCACCTTAGAGACTCACAAATTTATTTGAGCATAAGCTTTCGTGAGCATCCGATGAAGTGAGCTGTAGCTCACGAAAGCTTATGCTCAAATAAATTGGTTAGTCTCTAAGGTGCCACAAGTACTCCTTTTCTTTTTGCGGATACAGACTAACACGGCTGCTCCTCTGAAACCTGTCCGTTTAGCAATCCCCAGACAGGAGCTCACCCCCCGGAATCAGACAGCTGAGGCCTGCTCCACGGATCCTGCCCTTTGGGAGCTAGACAGTGCGAGCTAACTGCTCGGGGCGCTCACAAGCTGCAATGCTTTGGATTGATGCTGCAGAACTATTCAACGTAGCGCTTGGTGTCCTCCACCAGATCTCCCCAGGGAAGCAGCAGAAGCCCTAGGGCTTGGCAGCTTGAAAACTCCCCTGGCCCAAACACTGAGAAATGCACAAGGGGGCGCAGTCCTGCGTTGGGCAGGGAGCAAGGCTGGCTGGTCTAACTCCTCTTTTTCATCTCTGGCATCTGTGCTTTACAGACATTGACTAATGAATCCAGAATTGTCCAGTGTGAGTGGAGAGGGGACTGGGGCTGGAGGGACATTGCCCCAGTGCAGATGCTTATTAAGTGCTGCTGGAGCAGGAGGTATCATAGAATATCAGGGTGGGAAGGGACCTCAGGAGGTCATCTAGTCCAACCCCCTGCTCAAAGCAGGACCAATCCCCATTTTTGCCCCAGATCCCAAGTCGCCCCCTCAAGGATTGAACTCACAACCCTGGGTTTAGCAGGCCAATGCTCAAACCACTGGTAGCCTGGCTGAATAGACTTGGCATTGGCTTGGCAGTCCGCAGTGGAGAGCTCGGTGGCCTGGCTCTGCCACTGAGCCGCCATATAAACTTGGGCAAATCCCTTAAACTCTGGCATGCCTCCCTTTCCTCGTCTGTAATGACCCTGCCGCGCCTTTGGAAAGTGCTTGGAGGTCATGCAGCGAAAGAGGCGATCTCAGTGCGGAGTGTTTCTCGGGAGAGCACAAAGAAGGAGCTGACGCAATCAGCCTAAAACAGCCCCCCAGAAAGATGCCCGTGGGGGGAGTGGCCGGGGGCGGGGGCAAGAGGACAAACCAGGCTTGTTGCACCGGCTCCCACCTGTTGCGCGGGGTGTCTGTGAGCCTGGGTTCGCCGAGCCCAGCAGCCCAGGAAGGCGCCTCTTTGCAGGGGTGGCCCCGGGCAGCGCGTTCCCCGATGTCTCAGACAAAGAGCCCGGCTGCAGCTGCCGGGGAGCGGCTGGCCCACGGATCCGCGGCCGCCGCGGCTTTCCCAGCCACGGCGGCGGTCCCCGCTGCCGCGACCCTGGCTGGAGGACGGGCGGGGAGGCTCCAGCCCCCTGCCCGGGGACCGCTCCGCCAGCCCGCCCGCTCCCTGCGCTCGCCCAGCGGCGGCGGGGGGCGCTCGCCAGGGTCCCCGACCCCGCCTTAGAAGTTCTGGCCGGCGGGGCTCGCCGGGGCTCGGCACCGGGCGCGGGGAGGGGGAGCCGCGGAAACCTCCCGCCGCGCCTCGGCCGGGGCTGCGGCCGCTCTTCAGTCCGAGGCCCCGGGAGCGGCCCCCCGCGGGGATCCGGGCGTCTCTCCTCCCGGCGAGCTCCAGCCGAGCCCAGCCCCCGGCCCCTGCCCCGGCGAGCGGGATGGGCAGCCCGGGCGAGCCGCTGCGGTGAGTGCCGGGGTGCTGCCCGGATCTGGGGGCGGGGGTCCGGCGTAGCGGAGACCTACAGGTCCTGGCGGCTGGCGAGCTCCCAGCGGGGAGCCCGGGGCTCGCCGTGCCCGCTGCGGGCTGCAAAGCGGGCGATGCCTGCGGGCCTGAGGGCAAGCGCCGGCTGGGGGTGTCTGGGAGGGGGGCTGCTCGGTGCCTTGGGGAGGTGCCCCCCAGCCAAGCCCTGGGCGCCCGGCGATGCTTGCACCAGCTGCGGGGCCGGGCTGGGAGGGTGGAGGGGGGGGAATGGGGTTAAAACAACCGACTGCCCCCCTGGCAGTGTGTGGGGGTGAGAGCAGGGAGCAGCCTGTGCCTTGGGATCTGTGTCCTCCTGGGCATGGCTGGGTATTGCAGCAGGTCTGGTGTCCCCCCTCTCTGCCCCCCCTTTCTGTCCACCCCTCCATCCACCTGCTCTCTCCCATTCCTCTGTTCCTCCTCTGCTCTTTTCCCCCCACCTCCCAGGTCCTCTGCCCCTGGTCTGCTCCTTCTGTGCTTCCACTCCTCCAACTCCTGGCCCAGCCTCTGCTTGAGGCATCTCTTCCTCTCTCTGCCCCCCGCCCCCGCCCCATCTCCCGGCCCAGACACTCCTGTCAGAAGACCCCCTTCAGCACGGCGGGCAGGGGGCTCATCACGCTCTTCTAAAACGCAAGGGGGCTGTGGTCCGAAATGAGCCCTCTCTGCCCTTCACGGAGCACCGGGCCCCCTCCTCTTCCGGCTGCTCTGAGCTGAGTTCATCTCGCCCCCTCCCACGGGGGCAGGACAGGATTGTGCTCTGGAGTGTGCTTCCCCAGGGCTTTGGCCAGACTAGTTTGCCCAGAAAGTGAGCGAAGAGTTGGTGTCAGCTGTTAAGGCCGGCAGGGACCATTGGGGTCATGGTATCTGACCTCCAGCACAGGGCAGGACAGAGAAGCTTCTGCATCAAACCCAAAGCTTCTCTTTGAGCTGTAGCATGGGTTTTGTTTTGTTTTTGAAAGACATCCAGGCTAGCTTGAAAGGCTTCCAGGGATGGAGAATCCACCATGTTCTCAGAAGAGAGGTTCCAGCCGCTGATTCCCCCTGCTGCTAACAAAATCTGCACCTCATTTCGAGCCTGAAATAAGTCCAGCTTCATCCTCCAACTCTTAGCCTCTCGTTATGCCTTTTCCTGCTCGATTAAAGCACGGTCTGGTACCAGAAATCCCTTCCCCCCTGTGAGTCCTTGTAGACCATCCTCACGTCCCCTCTTAACCTTCTCTTGGGTAAACTACATTGACTGAGTTGCTTAAGGGTTTCACTCTAAGGCATGTTTTCCAGTCCTCGAATCACTCGTGTATCTATTTTCTGAACCCTTTCCAATTCCCTGCTGCCCAGAGTCTGTCTGCTCCCTTCTGCAAACGATTTTAAAGTTAGGTGGATGCTTCCTCTCAAAGATCCTAGTTTCAGTTTCAACGCCAATGCTGTGGGATTGTGTTTCGCGCGGGGGAGGCTGTGAGAAGAGGAGCCTAGGTAGGGTGCCCAGATGTCCCGATATTTGGAGCTTTTTCTTATATAGACACCTATTACCCCCCACCCCCGTCCTGATTTTTCACACTTGCTGTCTGGTCACCCTAGCCTAGAGGAAGAGGGGAAAAAGCAGAGAATGGGGCAGAGTGAAAATCCAATCTAGCGAGAGAGAGAGACAGACAGACGCTGAACGAAAGGGAGGAGAGAAAGAGAAACACGACTGGATAAATGACTACAGACAACAGAGTAACCATGTACAGCCCGGTGGTCACATACGCCACAGTGGATATTGAACCTGAGACCTGCTGCACCAAAAATCCCTTATCCCTCGAGCTAAATAAATAGCTGCTTTGTTTGGATGTAGCTGGCTGGTCCAGTTGCTGGAGCCAGCCACTAGAAGGAGACGTACGCTGCCAGCATATGAAACCCATCTCTGCCAGCCTTGTTCAGGGGCGTTCTAGGGCTATCCGAGAGCGCACACATTTATTGTCTGCTTTGGGTGAGTTTTTGGTGCTTGGGTTTTTGTCTGTCGGTTGTTGTTTTTGAATACAAGGACGCTGTTGTCAGGGCGTGGGGAGCAGGGGGTTAAACGTTTGGTGTCGTCCCTCTAGGGAAAAAAGCAGCCTGAAGTTTTGTGAACGCACTGGCTCTGGGAGGTGCCCGTCCCTAGCCCTGCTGGACCAAATAAAGTTTGAAACAGCCTCTGTCCTCCTGCTGTGGGAAGATTTTTCCCAGGCCTGAAACACTGGAGGTGGGGCAGAAAGGGCTGGAGGTTTGAAGAACACCCATGCTGACGGTGGGGAGGGGAGCACGAGTCCACTCTCATCTGGGGGATGAGAAGGGAAGGAGAAGTCTGGAGCTGAGTTGCTTTTCCTTGTGGGGCTTGGGGAGTGGAGGGATCTGACCCCAAGGACCCCCCCCTGCCTGCCTTCAGGCCTGGCTGAGTCCACACGGGACTCCAAGCAGGCTGGCTCTGGGGAAAGGGAGTGGGTTGTATGGCCAGCAGGGAGATGCTGCCTCCTGTCATCTCCATCTGCAGCCAGGCAGTTTCCTGAGCCGTCCTGCCAGGCACTCGGAAGATGAGCAGATCTCGTTACAAGCCATGGCCCATAGCATGGTCCTTGCCCGGCTGCCACGCTCTCTAGTCACGGAGCAGCACAGCAGAGGGGGAGCTCGCACGGTCTGTCTCGTCTTGCTTCCGCTGGGGGAGTCCACGGCTGTTGGCCGAACCTCACGTGGCTTCATTTCAAGCGTCTGCGCTGAGCACTTGGCCTGTGCTTCCGAGGTCATTCTTTGGGCCTGGGGCGCATTGGGCAGGGAGGGGAAGCTTTGGGCAGAAGAGGGAGGACAGGAAATTCTTCCCTGTGGAATTCCAGGGAATTCCTTCCTCGTGCAGAGCAAGACCCCTCTGCCTTTAAGATCCAATGGTGGCGATGCTCACTGAAGGGGGCTCTGAGGAGACGCGCTGAAGGCATGTTAAAAAGCCTTAGGAAAGCAGGACTGAGTGACGGGATGGGGTGAATTGATGCCCAAGTCCCCCCCGTTCCCCCCCCGTGCTGGTCTGACACCCGAGTAGCAGCGCGTGGACGTGGTTTCCCTCTGAGTGTATCAGTGGCGTGTTGTTTGCTGCGGTGGGTTCTGTACAAGTGGGAGTGGGGGTGGTCTTGTGGTTCAGGCACTGGACTGGGGCTTGGAGAACATGGGCTCAGCTTCTGGCTCCTCTGCAGACTCCCCGTGTGACCTGGAACATGTCACTGAATCTCTCTGTTTCCCCCTGTTCCAGCTCTGGCTCAGTCTCCCCTAGTGAACCGTCATCAGGTAGGTGTATTGGACCCAGCCTTTGGAGCCTCCCTTCTAAGCCAACTGGCTCTGAGCAGCTTCCAGGCGTCTCTAGTCCTGGCCTCTCAGGTCCACTCCTAGGGTGCCCGCACCCTCTCTGGCACCTCTTCCTTGAGCGGTGGGAACCCCACGGTCGCATTGCCCGCACCTCAAGACCAGTGCTGTGCCCCCCCAGTAGCTTGTGTCTGCTCCCATCTGAGCTCCCCCCTCATGGGCGCTCTGATGGATAGGCATAAACTGACACCAGTCTCCTCCAAAGTGTAGCGCAGAATTGCTAAATTAGCTGCATTGTGGGTAGATCTGAACAGCCTGGGGCTTTGGAAAAGTTTGGCTCCACTACACAATTTTGTGGATTGGTCATTGTTGTGAGTATGAGAGTCTTAACCCTCCTCTGGTTTATCTGGAATTCTGCCTTGTTGGAGACAGGCTGTTGGATGGGCAGGCCCATTAATCTCGTCCAGTTTGGGAATTCCCTTGTGAATGAATCAAGTGAGCCATTTCTGGTCCTCCCTTGTCTGATCTCAGTTGGGAGAAAGAAGCAATAGAAGAGAATAACCTCTTAAGAAAATCCCATTTTCCTATGAATGTTTCTATTAATAAAAGTCAAAAGGAGTAAAAAGACACCAAACAACCACCCAGAAAACAGAACTGCCCCTAGACCGAACCTTCTTTCCATGAGACACTAGCTCATCTTTAAAGCTGAAATGCCGGCTTCTATTGTTGGCCTTAAAAATGAAGCTACTTTGACCCTCCGCTTTTTCAGTTGTGAGTTACTGTGGCCATTTTGTGATCACACATTTTGTGCATTGTGGTCCAGTGGGCAAAGCACAGGGCTGGGAGATAGAACACTTGGGTTCTATTCCTGTGTCTGCCACTACCTTTCTTTTATCACCTTGGGCCAGTTACTTAACCTCTCTGTGCTTCAGTTACCCCTGCATAAAATGAGGGTAATGATGATTGATTATTTGAATTGTGGGGGTGCCTCCCCACTGTGAGAGGTGCTGTACAAACATAACAAAGAGATCGTGCTAAGTATGACTTCATTTTTATTATCTTTAAAATTCCAAGCTATGGTGGGCTGTAATGCAAACAGCAGTGTGATACAAAAGCAAGTCTGATGATTACATGTAGATATGCGAAAGAGTTAATTCAATACAAGAAATGTGAACTGTGTCCTTCAATACGATTGTATAAGGACAGTTAAAAACCCGATAGGAAGCTGCCAGTTTGACAGCCTCTTGATTGATTTGGTTTAATTTAATCTAATTTATGTATTCATAGGCATTTCTATGGTGCTCATTAAGACCTGGGGAGAGTGGTGGGGAGAGAAACTGCCATTGGAAAAGAGATGGCACAGAGAGATGAATTTTAGATCCAAACTGCACCAAAGAGTCAGGGGTTGGCTCTGGGGTTCCAATATATCGGAATGCAGGGAATTTTTCACGTGTGGCCAACTATTATGTTCTTACTGCAAATCTCAGGATGTTTGAAGTCTGTTTTAAGGCCCTATAAGATTGCAGGAGAATCTCTGCTTTCCTTTTAAAAACAAAAAAGTTAAACTGCAGCCATAGTGGTTGCAGAGAAAAGCTTGAAACCTGTGACGTGAGCGTGACCAGCAGGCTCAAAAACCGGAAGACAAA